GGGCCTAGCTCTGGAAACTGTCACGGAGTCACTGTTGCCATACTTTTTTGGTCAGAGGAGTCACAGAGCATCCCCCCAGATTAAAGCAGAGAGTACAGGGGATATTCCATGGAAGAAAAGACAAAGAATCTGCAGCCATCTCTGATCTACCACAGAGCACGGAAAAGAGGGAAAATTGAATGGATAATGAGAAAGGAAAATGGTTTGTATACGGGCTCTGATAGGATGCTCTGCAAAACTGCTTGGACATTAATCAGGCACTTTTGTGCCATACTCCATTCATTCATTTTTCATTGAATCAGTCAGCAGAATGTCTCTGTGTGTCTTCTATGGGTCAGGCTCAGTGCTATATTTCAAAAATGAATAAGAGAGAATCCCTAAAGGAGCCCGCAGTTTTTTCCCTGCCTCAGTGGCTTGGTCTATGGAAGAGCAGAATTCTTTCTTCTGTGTTGCTAAAGTAATGTAACCCATTTCTGCTACATTTTGGGGAGAAAAGCTTCAGTTTATTATTCTAATGCTTCAGACTTTGCTGTATGACTCACATGAAACAGGATATGTGGGTAACTTCCTTTTGCTTCTTTAAAGAAATAAATAGTTTTAACTGTTCCAGAGAACTTCCTTGGAGGGGAGGATTGGGGGTGTTAGGGTAAACACTATTTTTTTTAGTTATATCTGATACTTTCAAAACTATGCATTGACTTCCACAAATGAATAATGTATTGCTTATCAAATGAATTCTAAGATACAAGATATCTATACTGTGTAAGGTTTAAAATACATGGTGAATTAAAATAACTTCTTAGATATAGTGTTTGAAAATAGGGAAATGAATATAAATTGTGCTTTGCTGTTCAGCTGAACTTTCCTCCAAATTTGAGGAATACAGCTTTGTAAGGTAACTACAGTTGCACATTTTACCCTGAGGTTTTATGTTTGGACTTTCATGGTTATTTGAGACTAACAGTTGTTTATACTGTTTTTAGAAATGTAGTATCATATTTCTTGGCAGGAAATAATTATATTATTGTTTTCTGTCTTTGAATAATAATTCTATTTAGAATGATTTTTCTACTTTATAGAATAAATGAAACAGTATTAAACTAGCATTCTTATGTTCTCTCAGTTTTATATTTAAATAAGCTTTAATGAGTTTTTTTTTTACACAAAGCTGTGACTGTTCTGCAAAGAATGACTTGTTTCTCTGTCTCTGCCTGTGTTTCTCTTTCTCTTGCCCATCCTCCTTTTGTCCCACAGAAGGTATTTCTGAAAAGGGGTGGGGAAGAGTGCCCCAAATTGTTTCCTTTATTCCAGCTGTAGGTGCCTTTGAACCAGAATGTAGTATTGATGGTTCATATTACAGAAATGCCAACCAAGTTCCTTAAATGCTGATCCTTAGAGGCTGTGGAACTTGGAGCATTTTGCTGCATCATAGTGAGCAATTGCACCGTATAGAACAGCGGGGAGAAAGGGCTGTCCCAGTTTGTTCACAGAGGCTCGCATAGTTCAGCCTTGACTGCGTGTGTGTGTGTGTGTGTGTGTGTGTGTGTGTGTGTGTGTGTGTGTATGGTTAGGAGGAAGAGATGGGATGATGGAATGGATGGTTCTAATGTCTTTCTATTTTTGTTGTGGAGAATAGGAAAAAAGGTCTAAATAGACCTTTTAATCATGACAGATTTTTTCCCCATCCAGAAGCAGCATGCTCCCCAATGTCAAGGATATTATTTAAGACCATATAATAAATGGCATTGAAGTGTTCTATAATAGTCTTCTGGGGCATTGCCAGGATGCCTGATTATTCAGGTGTGGATTATGTGTATCATCTTGATGAGTTTTTTGACCTCTTTCTCTTGGTGGTTTTCTGCTTCACTATTTGTACCCAAGCCAGGGCAGGGACAGGGAAATGAACTGAAAGTAAAAGTGAACCTTGGCTCACCTGTTTAGTTGCCCTCTTGCCTCTGGAAGGAATTTGTAGGGATGGGGGAAATGGTGGTCCTGGTGACATTTAAAGACTATCTGTAGTCTTCCCTTTGTTCAGTCTGTCCCACTCCCATGTCCCGGATAGTTATCAAATGCCCTCGCTCAATGGGCAGGTTGTAATTACCCTGGCTCTCCTCTGGCTAGCAGGAGGTCAGCTGTACAGCTTGTCTTCTTAAGGCTCGTGCCCTGTGGGCAGGCCTAGACCTACCCGAAGTTCTCCCAGGGGAGAGTGTCTAGGAACAAGGCCCCACGCCATGCTCTCTCTCTATAGTAGGAAAGAAGGTTGGCAAAATGTAGTAAGTAGATGAATTTAGCCCTTAATTATTGAGAAATTATCACTGCTCTGTATATTTTTATCATTCTTGAATGTTATGACGTATAAAAAGGTCCCAATAAATTATATGCTATATAAGTGTTCATTTTTATTTCTCTTCCTCTTCCTTCTGCTATGCTATTATTCCTCAAAAAAAAAAAATGAAGAAAATGCAACAAGGAAAAAAAAAACCGGGCCCTGGTGCAAAAACCGAAAAAAAAATCAAGAAGCCAAAGGGGCAACCGGTAACCCAATGGCAACGCCAACAAGCCAAGAAAATAAAAAAAAGGGGCCGAAGGAAACCTGAATAAAAAACAAAAGTGAACCTTTATTATTTCAGGATGGAAGCTCATATTTTTTCCCTTCTTTCCTTTCTATCTTTATCTCCTCATTCATTCATTCGATCAACATTTATGTAATAGAAAATAATAGACAGATAAGTGGGACATGACTGCCCTCAGATAACTTATATTTTAGCAGAGGAGGCAAAATAATTATTGATAAATCTAATCCAAATTGGTGGCCAGAGGATAAATTAAAACCATCCCCTACTTCATGGGAGCCTAGGGGGTACACTCTTTGACTTTTTTTACTCGAGCTGAGACCAGACACCCCAGAGCAGAGTTCTGTGACAGTGAGCATAAGATACTCCTTTGTTTCTTTTCAGTGATCCCTCAGGCCAACAAGCTGTTGAACAGCTGCAGAATTAGGATCAAAAGAGCCAGTAAGGCTTGGTATCTCCACTGGTTAGGAATCTTCTAAAGTAGGAGAATTTCCTTAAATGTGGTCCCTGCAGTTTAGTACTGGCTGCTGTAGCAACAGAGTTGAGCTATTTGTATCTGACAATTGATGAATTATCTCAGAATGCAGCAGGTACTCTGAGTGGAGGGGTGCCTTGGAGCACACGGGGCTCCCAGCGAGGTCTGAAGTACACAGCCTTGTTAGGAAAGCGAATCTCCTCCTACTTTAAACGGGCATCTACCATGGATAACATAGTGAGTGAATTTTTGTGAAAGACATTCTCCGTTGTCCATGATAGAGTTTTATTTTTACTAAATTTCCTAAGGGCTGTGAGGCAGCTTCAGGTTCAT